TGGGCTAGATCAAAAGCAGCGTGGCCAGAAGGTCAAGGGAGGTGATTCTGCCCCTCTACTCTGCTCTGGTGAGACCCCATCTGGAATACTGCGTGCAGTTCTGGTGTCCTCAGCACAGGAAAGACATAGACCTGTTAAAGTATGTCCAGAGGAGGGACAAAGAGATGATCAGAGGGCTGGAGCGCCTATACTATAAAGACAGGCTGGAAAAAAGAAGGCTCTTGAGGAGGCCTCATTGCAGCTTTTTAGTACTCTAAGGGGTTTTACAAAAAAGAGGGAGAGCAACTTTGCATGTGGGCCAGTGGTGATAGGATAGCACCAAGGTGGGAGTTCCCAGCCCAGCCATACACTTATCTATAATGACAGTGGTAAAACCTTCTCTCATGCAGTTCACAGAAATGAATTGTACCAAGAGCATCCATAAAAGCTGCAGCATCCCTTTAAAGTGAGCATAATGTCATCATTTTTCAGTGGGTATCTTCTCTAAAGGCAAATAATCACTTTTCCCATTAATGATTAGACTGACTCTTTTTCCTTCATTCAGGTTTCAGCTAAGGTCAGGGGCAGAACATTTAACACATGCATGGAGATGCTGCAGTGTGAATCATGTGGGTTTTCTTCCCTCTGCAAATGTTGAAGGCAATGTAATATCTGAGAAAAAGTTTTCCTCTGTATCCTGGGGACTATTGTCATTTTTACTTTTCCCGTTTCCTCATGACTTCAGAAGTTTTAACAAGGGCATGGAGTGATAGGAAAAGGGGGAACAGTTTTAAACTAAGTTAGAAGAGATTTAGATTAGATGTTAGGAGTAAGTCTTTGCTGTGAGGTTGGTGAGGCACTGAAACAGGTTGCCCAGGGAAGCTGTGAATGCCTCAGTCCTGGAAGTATTTAAGGCCAGTTTGGATGGGGCCCTGAGCAACTTGGTCTAGTGGGGTGTCCCTGCCCATGGCAGGGGAGTTGAAACTACATGATCTTTCAGGTCACTTCCAACCCAAACCATTCTGTGATTCTGTGATGACTTGAGGAATGTCTGACAAATACAGGGCCTAGCTTCTCTTGCATACCTGAAAAGTATATCCTGTAACTACCTGTGAACATACTGTGGAATGAGGTGGGTCTGTTATTACTAGTGCAGACTAGAGTTCAACCTGTGCTTCTTGGCTTCATGGATTTAACCTGCCGGGTGATAAATACTAGGTAGGTTGTGAATTAGAACCTTGGGATTACAAAATGCCGTAATTGTCTCTCGTGTGCCCAGGTACTACAACTGGACTACAGCTGGTCCCCTTCTGCTGGCAATGCAGGCATTCCAGAAACCTTTGCCAAAGGTGAGATTGAACATGAAGGTTGGTAAGAGAAGGAGTTGTGAAATTATGCCATTGGTTAAGGCAGGGAAAAGAGGGTTGTTATACAAGAGAATCTGCACATCAGTAATATCTACCCACACATAACCGTTTATCTAGCTTGTGTTAAGGGCTAAATAAGTAGGACTAACTTTGGTCTGTGAATAGTGTCTGTTTGCTAGGCTAAGATCATTACAATTGTTTTGAAGAAGAAATTCCTTCTTTCCATTTTATCTGTATACTGCCATTTGCAGCACTTCACATATCATTGCGTTTATTCTGTGTGAATTCAGATGCTATCGCTATTGCCATCAACATGGACTAAAAATTTCTTAAAAGCCCAGAATACTTTCTGCCACTGTGTTCTTTCTTAGTGCCACATTACCTACATATGCAGTTGTGTAGCTGCATGGTAGCATCCAAATATAAAGCAAAAGTCCCAAGCATCTGGTAAACATGGCTTAAATTTTAAGGAAGTTACAGAGCCAGATGTTTTGTGCAACTGCAAATATTCTAGTAATTGTCACAGGGGGGATTCATCCCATGGAATTCAAATGCCCACAGAAGGTATATAGGTTTTCTGTTCTGTATTCTTTGGGTGCTCTCACAGTGTGATTCAGACCTTGATAGATGCCTATTGGGTCATTGTTGGGAATAAAAATGATGCAAGACAACTGCATTTTTAATTAAACACTTCAATGCTGGAGCCAGATGTTTTGGGTTTTGCCTAGGATGGGTAAATGGAAAGAATTGTTATCAAATATTTTTCCAGAGAGTTATGATCAATTGCAGTTCTTGCAACAGCATTATACTTACGCCATTATTCTTATAGGTTATCAGTTGAGAAAAATCTGAGTGTGAAATTCAGTGTGTTCATTTTTTTTAATGGTTAATTTATATTTTGAATGCTAATAACTTTCTAGACAGTGAAATTTTAATTTAGTGGAGAAGCCAGTATATATAGTTGGAACAGTCAGTATGATTGAGAAGGTTTATTTGGTTGAACTTCACCTCTGAAACTAAAATTACTCATTTATGTTACCAGTCATCTTACTGTTTTTCTTCCTGACTTGTTACTGGGTTTGCTGTAGTAATGGAACTCAGGAATTGAAATACTAAGATACTTTATCAAAACGGACTCTGTGAAGTGATTGAAAACTGAAGTTTTTGCAAAATAAATTCACTCATGTTCTGCAAAGTACTGTTAAATCCATGTCTAATTGTAAGCATGTGAATTCTCTCACTAAAAGTCAATAGGACATCTGCTTGAAGTTGTCAATATGTTTGAGAACCTTCTTAAGTGGTAGCTCCATCTGCTCCTTGTTTTTCTTACTTTGTTTAAAAATCTCTCAACTTATTTGCTCAACTTTATTCCTCTGTCATTTCTTGATTTTTTCATATGTTTTACATAATGTAGTGAAGAAAGCTTATGAAAAAACTGAGAAAAGGGCTGCATTGTCCCACACATTAGCTGCACTCAGCCCTCTCAACTGCTAAGAGTTCATAGATTTTTTTTTTAAATTTCAGATTTTTTTACATCACTAATCAACATCACAGCTTTTTTTTTTTTTTGGTGACTTTGCTCACAGTGGAAGCTATTGTCTTAGAAAGGCAGTGGCTAACCTATTCCGGGGCATATCAAACACTGTGGCCACCTTTACTATGATATTTTCCCAGTTCATCTCTGAGTGAAAGAATTTAGCTTTCCTTGTTACATACAATGCACAGGGCTCCAGTCATTATGGATATTGAAAGAAACTTTTCTACTGATGTCTAGTGAATAGAAACAGTGAAAAGTAGACAGGGTTTACAAAAAACCAGTCCTGACTTTGTCAGTCAAATTCATAGCACCATAGTAAACTCATAAAAGCTAGTAACTTCCTTGTTTTTTTCTAAACTGGTGATTAAATATGAACTTTATAGTTATTTTAAAATGAGAATAACTGTCTTGCATGTTGGTTTGTTACTGTTTTGCATGACAACTCCTTCAGGAAGTGATTTGTAAAAAAAATTTTTTTTACATATTATTTATACTAAATAACTTAAACCCAGTAGGTTTTCCATTCCAGACTTTATACTAATACCTCTTTATACCTTTTTTCCTTTTTGATTTGATTTCTTTTTCATTTTCCTTTTAAAAATATCATAAGTATTCATGCTTAAGTTACTTCAGAGCAGCTCTGGATACCATTAGATTTTGCTTTAGTAGAATTTATGGTCCACAGACAGTATGTTTACTTTTATTCTATTTATTATCAGTTAAAATTGTCTGTTTGGCACTTTCTTTCATTTACATGTATCAGGTTGTCCTTTGTTTGGGGCCTTTTTTATGTTACCATCCATTTATCACAGGCCACTGTGGAATCTATAATGAGGGATAAGATGCCCAAAAAAGGTGGAAGGTGGTGGTTTTCATGGCGAGGGAGGAACAGCACTATTAAAGAGGTAAGCACTATTAAGAAGAAAGCAGGGTTACCTTATGGTTGCAGTGGGAAGGCTGGATATCTCTGTGTTCATCCCTGAGAACTTTATTTCGAAGAGTAACTCAGTATTCAGTTGGACTGAGGATAGACACTTTAAAATATATTTAAATGCAGTCTGAAGCCTCATTTCTTTTGGCTTCAGAAAGCTTTGGATCCAGAACCTACCTGAAACATTTGCCTGCAGAGTTTTGGTTCTGCATTTATTTTTATTACACAAATCTGAGGCAGTATTATCTCATGTGTATTATCTCTGTTTGGAAACCTGGAATCAAAGATTTGTGCCACTAATTTAATGTTTTCATGCAGATTGCCTGCCTTCCTGCAGCTTTCTTTTGATAGTTAAAGAGCAGACATATTTATGAGTAGTGAGAGCTGTAAAATTCAGCAAAACCTAAGGTGGAAAACTGACTATATATATTAGTTCGAAAGTCTTTCTGAGTTTCTTTTCAGAGCATTAAAAGTTTGTGGTAACAGTCTTAAAGTCATGGATGAACATTAAAAAACAGTGAAAAAGCCAAAACTTTATATGAAAGATTGATCTCTTGTCTAGACATATTTAATCTTTAAAGTTGGCTAATAAACCTCTTAATATTAATTTATATTACTGAAGCATTAGTACTTGAGGGGAGAAGATAACTTCTAATACAATTTTATGGTTGTTCCTCAGTCAAGAACTTTAGCCATTGCATTGATCTGTGGGTGTGGGCTTCAGAGCATGAGATTTCAGTTTTCATAGTTGTTTGAAGTTTTTAGAATTTACCTCTAGAAGTTTTTGGCATCTCTTGTGCTGTGGCAGCTTTAAATAAAGCTATTCACTTTTTAAAAATCTTGTGGAATGACATTGATAGTGTTCAGCATCTACTCAAGAGAAGTTTGTGAAGTTGTATTGGATTAAAGATTTTAATGATTGTGTGAAAGGTAATTGTTGTGGGTTTTTTCCTTCTCCAGAGTCATACTTCGCTTTTTCAGGTGAAATCTAGCTATTTGAGGTGCGTGAACTGAGTAGCTGTGGAGTTGATCTCAGAACTTCAACAGAATGTGAAATCTGATATTTATCTACTTCTTCCATGCAAAACTAAATTTTAGCTATTCCTCTGAGTTTTATGTTTGCAAATTTAATTCTTTGTACAGTCTTTATTCTTCAAGAAAACCATGAGGTTTTACTTCGCCTATAGGCAAAGGAGACAAACATGCTGTTGATTTTTACCCAGTCTGTATATGACAGAATTTGGTTTTTAAATATTTTTCTAAAAACATTTGCTTTCTGCTCAACAGGAGATGCACAGCTTCTCATACTTGTATCTTTACAGGAAACAAAGCCAGACCAAGATATAAATGAGAGTGGACTTACAGAAGACTCTTCACAGATGAGCAGGGCAAACAGGTACCCTCAAAATTATCTGGACCTGAAATAAGCAAGACTTACCATTTAAAGATGAAAGCAAGTTGCATCATGTATTTGAAAAAAGAAATACTGCGTCAGTGAAATATGTTTAATTTGTTACTCATTGCACCATGTAAGTGGAGATAAGAGGACTTAACCCATGGCAGGGCTGCAGACCTTGTGAGTGCACTCTGGGATTTCTGTGGTTTGGCCAGCAGCTTCATGGCACATGTTCCAGTCCCTTGGAAACAAACTGTAATTGGGGCAGTTCTCCAAAGCTATATGTATTTCTCTGGAGTTTTCAGGGGAAGATCATATCTGAACCCATGCTGTTGTCAGATGCCAGTTGCTAATATTTTCAATTTATTTAGATTTAATGGCCTGACAACTAAGTTGTTCCTGCATATTTGGGGAAGTTCAGGGGCCTAAGGCTTTCCAGGGTGTTTTTCATAGGCAGTAGTCATGAGTTTATATTACTTGTTTCAAAGACTGCAGAAGTCTCTCCTTTGTGCTCTACCCATATCACATGTGTAGCCAGTATCTCGCCTTTAGGAGGGTTCCATAAGATGGGCTTTAACTTGCTTTGAAGGGATGAGTTAGCCAGGGACAGTTCTCATCCCTTGCCCCTTTTCTGTGCATACAGATCTTAATGTAAAGTCTGTGTGCCATCTGCACGTACAGCTGAAAAGGGCCAGATTCAAATATGCTTTATGCTTGTTAAGGTAAATTCAGGCAACAAAACAAAAAGGCATCAGCTGTCATTCTTTCTAGTGGCCAGCAGCTGCACTCCAGGCAAATGCTGGTAAGAGGATTCCTCATTCTGTAGGAGACTAGCTGTTGTCTCAGTTGCCGCTCTGAGTTTGAGAGCCACAGAATAACTTGGAAAGGCTGTTTTTCCTTTTAAGGATGACAAGTGACATATAGGTCTGTTTCTTACATGGTTGTTTAAAGATAAGTTTTAAAGTGGGATTAAGACTTCAAGCAGACTAGGTTCTGAAACTGTTGTTCTTTGTTTAAATTTTAACTGGGCTTAGAAATCTGTCATTTAGAATTTATTGTTTGCAAGCAAAATGTGACAAGTGGGATGTTGAGTAAAGCTTTTGAGATCAGATGTCACAAAGGATAAGATAAGCTTTTACATGTTGCTAGTCATGAGATGCGGTACCTGGATACTGGGTCAAGACTTCCTAACATCAAACACCACCCAGGTGTGATTGAAATAAGAAGCTAAATGCTGATTGTTTTAAAGATGAAATTTGTAGGATCCAAAAGAATATTTTACCTTATGCCTACAGTGATAGATTGATTTTTATTTTTTTTTAACTGTAGGAAAACTTTGTCTCTGAAAAAAAAATACCCTAAACAAATTTCTAAAAAATTATTGTAGCAGGGAAAAAAAATACAGGTGTGTATTTAAAGAGAATAGTGTGAGGGAGCTCAGGTTTTATAACTTTTCATCATTGTATCCTGAATGGGGTAATGCTGAAAATTCTGGAAAAGAATAATCAAGTGGTCTGAAGTTGTTCATTGAAAGAGACCGAGGAGTTACTTTCCATAATAAAGTTTCCATCATCTGCATTTTTTTTTTATTTTATTAATTTTTAAACTCTTTGGAGGAGGAAGGAACAGGGGGAAGAGAAAGCCAGCATAACAAATGCCTTTCTTCTCCTGAGAGCAGAGGATTTTTTTGTAGTTATAGTATCTAATGGACATGATTTTTTTTACCATTAGGAGATTTTTGAGTCAATATAGCACATTAATTATATTTGTTAAGTTTAAGTAATGAAAGCTAGCTTATAGAACAATCCAAGTATGAATAATGGGGAATATGTGTTAATGAAAATTTGCAGTTCATTGATATATTCAAACATGTGATGTAAATGACCTCCTGTGAGACAGTATTTGGGAGCAGGGAATCAGTGGCTTATTTGGTGACTCACTGTTGATGCATTTTTAATGGATACTGAGATGCATTTACTGACATGATAGCATCATTTTCTCTGCGTGCAATGTTCCAGAATGAAAGATGAATCTTCTTCGAGCGATGAAGACCCTAAAGCTGCCAAACAAAACCTTGGGTCATTACAAACCAACTCGAGTCATCTCTCATTATTGTCTGGAATCAGTTACAAAAAATCACTTCGACTCACTTCTGACCAGCTTGTGAGTTAATTTTGCATACTTGTCCTGAAATGTCATTTCTAATACAACATGAACTGTACTGTTATTCAGGCTTGAAAAGCTTAATTAGATCTTATGTCTTGTGTTTAATTCTCTCTTGTAACATTTTTTTAAAAAAAAGCCTTTTCGCTTTTCTGTATTAAGCATGAATGTTATTCCTTGCAATAAGTGCTGGGGTTCAGAGATGGGATCCCACTTAGAAATATATCACATTTAAACTCCAAAGAGTATTTGTCACCTGACTAAGGGTACTGGAACCATGTCTTTTTTTTGTAGTACCTGTAATGTGTATATGTTAACTCACTGGCCTCTCTTCTTTCTCTTTCCTCCTCTCCTTTCCTTTTCTTTCCTCTCATTAGTAGGCAGACAGTCACATTTTGCATAAATGCAGTTTTCTGTTACTAACTTCTGAAAGAGATGCTTGTGAATTTACTATGAGGCCAGGCTATTAATTTCTTTGGAGCCAATTCTCTTCCTCTGTGACAGAGGTGTTTTGACTAATGGCCACAAAACTGTTAGAGCTTTGTGTTCTGCACATTCCAATTTGATCTGGAAAAATGGACTACTTTAGGGTAATACTTTTTGTCATCTTATCTACAGCCAATTAATTTTCTGAAAGAAACCCACACAGGGTGTGCAGCATTAAACAGCCCATCTCTCACTGCCTGAATAATTTGTAAGAAATGTAGAATTTTACCCAAGAGACAAATGGGATGTGTTGGTAATTTTCTATAGCAAACAGAAGGCAAGGGTTACACAAATATATTGGCTCTTTACAGATTCAGAAACCTTGCAGAAATTAGCTGAAGCTAAACCTGCGGTGAAATTGGTTTCTTGATGAAACAGTGGGTGAGACTAATCAGTTACCCCTCAGTTGTTCTCATTCCCACCTGCTTTTCACTTTTAACTAATTGAGAAATTGCAGTGAAAGATGGCTAAGAAAAACAGACACATAGAGTATTAAATTCCTGCAGGTTTGGGGGAAATGAACAGTTAGGTCCACAAATAGAATCAAATCAGTAGTCTCTTGTCCAGCACATCGCTAAGAGACACAGGAGACAATGAAGGAAGCAAAAAGAAGAGTGAAGGATATTTAGTGGAAACTGAAGGCTAATAGGTTGTATGATGTGAGAGCTGGGCTATTTTACGAAAGAGATATAATACAATAGAACAGGAATCCCCATATAAGCACTCTTAATTAGAGTTTATGGAACTTCTTGTTATTCACTTTTCTCTCTGCATATTTATCTATATCTCAGAGGGAAAAGCCCTCATAGATAGTCCCTATTCCATTGCTTGTTGTTGTTCATGTGAACATTTAGGGATTTTATTTTTTTTTAATATACCTGACTGTGAAACAGAATTTTTCTTTTATTCTGTTCTATAAATCAACACCTAATACACACCACAGAGTGCAAACTTCTGCTATCCTTTTTTAGACAATAGCCTTGCTGAGAGCAGTAAGATTCAGTGTGACCAAGGCAATGGTCATCTGTGGCTTTGTGTTTGCACTGTGACCATATTAGTTGCTCAGTTTGTTGATCATGTTGCTGATAATGTCTTGCAGAAAAGCTTAAAGCTTAAGAATGGCCCCAATGATGTGACCTTTAGTGTTACGACACAGTATCAAGGCACTTGCCGCTGTGAAGGCACCATTTACCTCTGGAATTGGGATGATAAAGTTGTTATTTCTGACATTGATGGAACAATCACACGGTGAGTTCATGAACAGGGAGAGACTTTATGTACAAGAACAAGTTGCCCCTTAGACTAAAGGAAAAAGTAATTAACAGGGAATTTTGAGTCACAGAATCATCATATTCCAGTGTTTTGAGAGGGTGTTTATTTACTTTCTCTTAAATTTGGCTTTCAAACAATGCAAGAATCCTTGGCTGAATTCTTAATTTAATAAAGGCACATGCCATGTGTGCCCATTATTTGTCACCTATGGGTGTTTCCTGATAGTATTTACTGCAGTATTGGAGGACCCTCTGCAAAATCCTAACCTTTTTGCTGCATCACACTTATGGAGTACTCTTGCTGCATTAAGAAGGAGAAACACATGAATTTTTAAAAGGCATTACTGCAACATTCCAGTGGGAGGCATTATTATTTAGAAGACAAGACTCTAAAATCAGTGTCAGAATTAGAATCTGATGGAAAGTTTCAGATTAGTTCTTTGAATAAAACCTATTTTGGAGTTACCAAAATGATTCACTGACTTGCTGATTTCTATTTATGTAGTTATTTATCATTGTGGAATATAATTGTGTGTGGAACAAGGGAAACACATGATTAAAAATACAGGCATTGTCTTTTAAAAGGAAATGCTTAGGTTTGTTTTGAAATCAATTCCTTTCAAAAATCAAACTTAGCTATATTTAATTAGGAAAAAGAATGAGGAAATGTAATTTCTAAGAGCAATCTGGGAAGAATTAAAAGACGATTTAAACTGAAACTCTTATTTTTTTCTTGGGATTTATACGTTGTATGGCAAACTTCTGTTTTGGTGCCAGCGTAAATTAATATCTCCTCTCAGTGGGATCTATTCTGCTCTCTGCTGATTAGCTGCTCAGAGTTACTCAATCACTTCACCTTACAATACCAATGCAACTCCATCCTAAGCCACTGTCAAATGTTTTCCCCTCTAAGATGTGAGATATTCAGGGTGTGAACTTCTTGCTGTGTATCTGTACAATGCTTGGTGAAGCAAGGTGCTCATTTGCACCATTTGTTATTATGGTGTAAATAATTTTCTCTCATATAAGGCAGGAAATGCATCGAAAACAGAATAAATGTTTCAAAACACTTTATATGTGACCAGCTCTTGACTTTATGTGGGGAAGGTAGTTTGAAGTAAGATAGAATGTGACTTACCTCATACTTTCAGTTTTCCATAAACTTCCATTATGAGTAGATTCGGTTTATTTAGAAAACATTTAATATAAACCTCAAAAAGCGTAGCACTGGTGGCCTCCTACATGTCTGATTGGTGGCTTGTATGCTGTAACTCCCATGTTACCTTATGGGTCACAAACTTATCTGTCTTGGAGCACAAGAGTAATTAAAACTACATCCCCAAGGATGGGCACGTCAGTCTGTCTCAAAAGAAAGGGGAATAATATGATCCTGTTCTGATTACAATCAGTACATTACAGAAAGTCTTACTTTTATTAGCTGCTTGCAAGTATGTTAGTGGGGCTTGTATTAGCTTCAACTGTTATTATAAGTACTGTTTTTTTCAGTCCAGTTATATTGTTTTTCCTTTATTCAGGTCAGATACTTTAGGTCATATTTTGCCAACTCTTGGCAAGGACTGGACACACCAAGGGATTGCAAAGTTGTACCATAAAGTGAGCCAGTGAGTATTCATTATATCTGTTCATATATCTGTGGCTTGTTGGTGTTTATTTATGTACATGTAAAAATTAAAATTTCTCTAGGCTTCCCTTAACCTATAAGGGTTGCAATTTCATCAATATTTCATCACTTCAGTCATGCTTACTCACTGTAAGTACTTTCTGCATGGTATCTGGAGCAAAACCTCCTTTGTGACAGCAGAAACAAAACCCCCTGTGTATGAGTAGTGATTGCTCTTCCAACCATCCCCAGCAGATACCTACAGTTACTTCCAAAGATCTCTAGTAATTTGAACAAGTTCTGAAGATGCAGCAAGTGTAACTTTTTTGCAAACTAGGAATTACAGCAGTATTAATTCATAAGATGCTAATACACCTTCCCTTTTCTCGTCATTGGGGGGATTGTGAAATGTATAAGGACTCTTTGGCCTAGGGTGGTCACTGTAAGTGAAATTCTTCTTGCCAAATTTGACTCACCTGGAGTCATGGAGGGCTGGACTCTAAACTTTCTGGATGATTCTGTTTGAAGGAGTTCCTTCTCTTTCCAGTGAGTAGAAAGGGAGTTCAATGAAACAACTTAGATTTGAGCTATCTGAACATCAGGCTTCTAGTCAAGCAAGATAAATCTCTTCCTTAAAGCACAGCACAGTGTTTTATCTTGAGAAGAAATGTGCCCGTTTCAGATACTCACTGCTAATATTCTTGTTTTATTTGTTGTGTAGATAATGATGAGCTTCACTGATGTTGATCTTTGCTAGTAATGATTATACAATTTATTTTGTTATTTCTGTGTAAAAGCGTCTGTTGCTATTCCATTATTAAATTGCAATGTTAGGAAGGATCTGTTTTAAAATATTTTTGTCGTTGATTAATTTTGAGAGTGGGTGATAAGTAACCATTGCTTAAAGTGCAGTTTAAAGGTACTGAAAGTCAATAAAGCATATGCTGTGAAGAGTCTAAGGAAAAGGCCTTGACCTGGCAACACCAGCACGAGTGGCTGTATTACAGCCTAGTAACTGACCTGCACTGATGTCTGTTGGTCTGCAGCAATAAATACCTTCCGTGCCAGTGAGAGGGGTAAAGGCTTTGATACACTGTGTTTACTTGTGGATTACATGCTATGGAGAAAGTCAGCCATCTTCAAAAAGTAGCTCAATATACCTGAGATTGAACCATTTTTTGAAAGGACTATTTTTTCCCCGTTAGCCATTGAAGAAATATTGGACAGTGTATCAGCTGTGCTTTAGGTCAGTTAATGTCACTAACAGGGAGAGTGTACAGGTATGACCTAGATCAATATAGTCTAAAAAATTGGGTATGTTTCCTCTGATGAATATGAGCAGCAGAAAAACAGTCAGACCATACCAGCTCACATGTGATATTGTATGGGAATGCTTCTAGGTGAGCAAGGCTAGTGCAAGAGTACAGGTGTACTGTGGGTTTCCTGGATACGTTTTGCAATGTAGTCAAGCTGTTGTGTACACTGGAGGGTCAAAGACAGAGTATGGTGAGTTTTGTAATTATCCACTGAGAGACAAAAGGAAATGAGGAAAAATTAATTGGTGTCTGAATGGGATCAGATGAAGTATCTGATTTTAATTTTTACAAGGAGGATTACTGATTACTGTTTTCTTTATTACATTAACATCAGCTTTTCTTGTATATTCAAATTACCATAAATGTTTGAAGAGCCTCTGGTATACATCACAACTGTTCTCTTAGTTAATCTGATTTGTTCTGGGTACTAGAGTTATGCTAAGATTCATTTATTGTTTTTTTGTTTAACATGGATGGTGAATTATAAATTATGGATATTGGAATCTAAATTTTGCCCGTGACACTTGTCTGTGCATAGACATACATGTTCACAGAAAAGACAGGACAGCCTGGGAATACGTAGACAGCACTCTGTGTATAACTTCTGCATTACATTTGGTGGAAATGTTAATTATTTTTTTTAATTGCAGTTGTTATTTCTGTGCCTGCCAGCACAGAAGTATTTCTGTGCCTGTCAGTTGTTAGGGCTTTGGTGATCCACAAACATAGGAGCAAAATAGATTTGAGTCATGTTGTTCTTCAAATTACTGAGTTAATTATGTAGTGGCTACATGTTACAGCTGAACATCATATAAATGGTCAATAGTTATATTCAGTGACCATGTGTGCACTGAATGCAATGTTTCTTTGTTTTATGAACAGTAATTTCTTTACAGGAATTATAAAGTACATTGCTATTAGGTTGAACTAGTATCAGATAGGACTCTGTTCTGTCATGAACAGAACCAAAGGCAACATGCGAATTCTGCCAAAACTTTTATTTCAGTGTCAAATAAAAAATCACCTCTCATACTGTATTTTGAACTTCAGATTTGTTTCAACTTGGGGGAATACGTTTAAGCTGCACGTATACAAGTTTTTGGTTTTTTGTTTGTTTTTTTTTTTGCAGAGGCCCAAGAGGCAGGAGTGCAACACTGTTAATACAGCAAAGGCCAATACAGCATTTTCTGCTTTATGCCAAGTGTTTTCCTTTTTGCAGTTGTCATTTCAGTTAATTCTAAGGACAATGGGTCCACCATGGAGGGGTGGATAGGGAGCCATAAGGAGTCATAAGTCATAAGAAGAGCAGAGATTAATGTGCCTTCTTTAGATGTTATCACTAAATGCAGTGGAGCTAGATGGATTTTAATTACCCAGGTTTCTGGCATAAATGTTTTTATTCCTTTTAAATGAAGTGTAAGTTAAATATAAGTCTGTTTTAACAGTCATGATTTGATTCATGTAGAAGTAAGCACACAAAATTGTTAATGTCTAAGTACCTGCTTTGTTTTTACAGTATTTTCTTCTTTTCTATCTGTTCACAGAAATGGATATAAATTTTTGTACTGCTCAGCACGTGCTATTGGAATGGCAGGCATGACCAGGGGATACTTGCACTGGGTCAATGAACGAGGAACAGTGCTGCCTCAGGGCCCAGTGTTGCTGAGTCCAAGCAGCTTATTCTCAGCTCTTCACAGGTAATGAATTTCACTTGTATGCAGAAAGAAACTCCAAGATTGGTGGAGGCTGAATTCTCAGGTTTTTAAATTGGAGTGCTTGAAATAATTCATAATATTTTTTTCTTACATATCGGTGCAAAGTTTAATTAAGAAGAAATTTTGTTAGACCAAAATTCAATAGCTAGTCAACAGGCAGATTGCGTAGTAACATGGTGTGTTAATGTTTAGCTATGGGAGAAATGTGGCCATTTTAATAGCAATCACTCTTGTCTTGAATTGTAAGTTGTTTCAGTTGGCATAAATATATTTTTGTGGAAGAATATTTCTTGGTAGGTTTTGAGCAAATTAATGTGAAAATGGAATGAACTTTTTATATGCCTGACTGCACTGTGGATTCTGTGTGGACAATGTTATCTTTTCTAGGTGTTGAACTGCAATAAGTGCATAATAATAACACTGATCATGAATATCGTACCTTCTTCCCAGTTCAGTGAAGCATGTCAAGTGATTACTGAAAATATTTTAAGCTGCTAAAGGCTGCTGTGACAGGATATATTTCATTAGAATTTTTAATGGAAGGTTGTTCAGATGTTCTCCTGATTGACTGACATGCTACAGGCTGTCTTACCAGTCATCTTCTAAATATAAAAAAACGTGGAGGTATTACAGTGCACTTCTCAGACTGATTAAATAATAAATGCAGTGGAAGGGTAGTTACTGTTATCTCATGCTCTTCAGATCTAGAAATACATTTAAAGTGATACTCTTGTTGGTATCTTGTATAAAGAATGCCTGTCTTACAGTGTACATTATCGTAATTGCTGTGGTGTGTGGGCAATAAATGTCTTCACTGTTAGCCATAGATTTAATTATTGTAGGTTTGAGATCGGGTGTATGTGAGGAGAGGTGGTTTTATTCATCTTTTTCACATTCTCGAAGTTTGATTTATACATGGATCTGCTGTTCCAAAGGGCTGTTTTACTCCTATGAAGCTTCTGTACTATTCACATCTTATTTGACATATGTGTTGATGCTAGGATCTGGGATTCGGAGCTTCTTAAGCACTTTTGTGTCATGCTGGCATCTTCTATGTTATGGGAACTCCAGACTCTGCCACCTGTTTAGTCTTCTTGCCAAGAGAAGCTGTTGTGCAAGGGTTTTTGCCCAGAGATGAGATAACTCCTCTGTTCATTAATGAATTCTGTATTCTGTAAGGAGCAACTGAAGAGAAATATAAGATTAATTTATTCCTTAACTTTTGCTAATTAGCAGTGATGGAGGACCCTGACTGTACAAGTATCTTAACAGGCTAAGGTGCTTTAAGCACATATGGTGATTGCAGTCCTTTCAGAAATAAAATAGATAAAAGGCACTATACACAGTGAGGGTTAATATAATCTCTGAATCATTTTGCAGTTCTCAGGAGGCAGTTTACTTGATGACAGTGTAAGTAAGTAAGGCTTGATTTAGGAGCTACTCCTTGTAATCAACTATCCTTGCTCAGTAGCCATCTTTGTAGCTTAGGTTTCAGTAGAAGTTCCCTTGTTTCAGTGGACTTATTTACTGTGCCCATTGTGTAAGCTTGGGAATGCTATTTTGTCTTCATGGGCACTGTGACTTCCAAATGAAGATTTATTGGAGGAGAGTGGTTGCTCTGAAGAGGTATCCAGCTAGGTGATAATGTTGAATAAAGAAAATAAAATGGTTTGTGTTATATTTTGTGTGTACTTATTCAGCTTCCATTTTTTATCATTTCAGGGAGGTCATAGAAAAGAAGCCAGAAAAATTTAAAGTTCAGTGTTTGACTGACATCAAAAATTTATTTTATCCTAACACAGAACCCTTTTATGCTGCTTTTGGAAACAGACCTGCTGTAAGTAATAGCTGAATTTATTTCTCTTGCAGAGAACAGAAAGGTTGCTGTTATTTCATGCTTCTGTTGCATTGGAACCTAGAAACTTAAAATGGGAATTAAGAATAATTTTATTAGGCCCTGTACAAAGGCAAAAATAAAGATTCTTCCTCAAAAATACCACAATATAGGATGCAAACAGATATGGAAGAGCAGCAAAGTAACTATGTTTTATATGTGTAAGTTAGCAGTTAAGCTTATGTGAAGGCATTGATCTCAGTTCAGTCCACACCGATAGTGTCTGTGAGATACCTGTGGACAGACAAAATATTTCAGATTAATATTGATGGGACTTACACTTTAATCTCTAAGTACACTCAATCTCCATCACTTGTTTGAAGGCTGTATATTTGGGCTATGGATGGCTCCTGCCCTAGGCCAAAGAATACTTATATGCATTTAGTGGAGCAAACAGGGGCTAGGGCTGAGGTGTGGACTCTGGCATGTGATTATCCCTTTGTTAAAAGCATTATGTCAGAGGCAACATGAGGTCCTCACTGTCCAATATAAAATTCTTATACCATACACAGCTTAACTTCCATTATCAAGCTACCTTTAAACATATGATTCTGAAATAACTTTTTGAACACTTTTGTGATGTTGTATTATGGATGATATCTACCTCTAGTTCCTTTTCTTTTTTTTTTTGAACCTCAGGGAAATAAAACAGGATCATTATTTTCATGCATATTTCAATAAAGTTTCAAGTAAAGCAGTGTTAATATTTCTAAAGCAATTACTAGTAACTCACTCCTCTGATTGCTGCCAGAGTTCAGGCTTCAGGTGTGTGATGTGCCACTGCCTTTCTGAAGATCAGGATCATTGTTTTCTCAATTTTCTGCTCACTTGTTTGGTTTGGCTTTTTTTTTTCCCAGAACAAACTCAGCAAAATTTCCCTACTCATGGATGTTACAGGTCTTGAAGTGACTGCTGGTCACTTTTGTTCAGTTACTTAACTTTTTGGGAACAGTCTTTGCTATGGAGAGAACTTCATTAACATTCCAGTCTTTCACCACCTCAGCATGATTTATATTAGCAAAATAGAAGATTGTTTTTGCTCTGATCTTCTGGGAGTTATTTTGATCTTGGGTATTGTCAAGCTTTTCTTCAGAACAAATCAAAACTTATTCATTGCTTTCCTTAACAATTTGAAGTTCTTAGGAGATATTCTTAATTTTTACTTCTAACTGTACTTCCCATGGTTGTATCTGCATTACCTGCTGGGGCTCACTGCTGCTATTTTGGCATGTGTTTCTTGCTTTCCCATCTTTTCCCCTTGCTCTGACATGGAGCCAATATATGGGTATGGCACAAATCCAAACTCAGGAGATAAGAGATGTTTCCAGGGGTTTTAATGTAGACACAGTTGTTATGGCTTCCTTTTGTGACCTTGTCCTTAAAAAATAATTCCTGTTTTATGTGTCAGTTATATTTTAACTTCTGTACACTGTTGTAAGATACAGCAAATTGTCTATTCCATGAACATTTCATTAGATTGACCTCATCTGTAACATAATGGAGAATTTCAGGTACACAGTTACTAGGTAAATTTAGTACCAATACTGTATAAGTATGTCCTTCTGTGTAATATATTCCCGCAAGAATAAATGCTATTGTGCAAAGACAGAATGAAAATTTTTCTTCTTTTCTTTTTAGGATGTTTATTCATACAAACAGGTGGGGGTTTCTTTAAACAGGATATTTACAGTTAACCCCAAAGGAGAACTTATACAAGAGCATGCAAAGACAAACATCTCATCGTAAGTAATTCTTATTTCTGAAACCTTATGGAATGAATTAATTCTCTGTGCTAATTTATGACTCAAGTTGCCCAAAGATTCATTTGATTTTCGTAATGAAATATTCCTTAGAATACTTCAAATGAAACATAAAAAAAAGACAATAAAGTACAGACATTCTGCTCTCCTTCAGTTAAACTGACAAAAAGACTTTTTTTGGTGTTTAATATAATATATTCCATCTACTTTAATCATAAAAAGGAATTGTAAGTGTGTGATTTAGTCTGCATAAAACCAAGACTTGCTAGTTTGCTGAAGCCATCTGCCTTTTCATGGCCTTTTCAAAATTTCCTTTTCCTGGAGCTCATATCTAGAAGAGCCAGAAAACAAAATCTGGAGAGAGGGCTGAGTGTTTCCACCAAGATTCTTAGGTACTAGTAACACCCAAAACTGAATGGAAATGGCCTTTAGTAATGTTAACAGTGTCATTAGTTGAAGGGGAGCCATATGTATATAAAATATGAATAATCAGTTGAGCAGGGAGCTGCTTGAACCAAGCTGGACAGAAATGGAGAAGCAGAATATGGGGCTTGAATATCTTTGCAGGTGTGTAAAATGGCCTCTGTTTATTACTAGGTAAGTATCGTTTGTTAGAATTAATGGATTAGAATTAATTTCTTATCCAAACTGTGAATCCTTTCTGGAAGCTGGGCACCAGAAACAAGTTTAGTTTTATTCCTTTGAGGAAGGTGACTTTTCCACCTTATCTGCTTCTAAGAGTAGTCATGCCTTAGTGGTTGGGGAGTTAGAAAATTTCAAAATAAGATGATCTGAAAAAGTTCAGCATTGTTTTTATTTGTTTATTTTCCAGCTATGTCAGACTCTGTGAAGTGGTAGATCACATTTTTCCTTTGCTGAAAAGAAGCCATTCTTCAGACTTCCCTTGTTCTGACACCTACAGTCAGTTCACCTACTGGAGAGAACCTCTGCCACCGTTTGAAACTCAGGATGTACATCCAGCCTCATCTTAACTGCACCTCAAACTGTTGGCCTCAGCTGAAAGAATGAGTTGGCTTGTATTAAAAGGATACCACTTGACTTTTCTGTTGACAGTTCAGCTGGAATCTGTGATGTTGTGAGCATTGCATTCTTTTGCTGTGAGCAAACTTAGAAATGCTTTTTCATACTTAGTCACATTTCCAGACAAGAGGAGTCTTGCTAGGAAGAGGAATTGCATTTCAGGGTCTTCACCTAGCTCCTCAAATTGTGCTATTCACTTTCATTATATAAGGTCAGATAAAAGTGACATGACATTGGAGCTGCAGTTAAACATGCCAAAAGGCTTTAAAGTGGTTCTGTGTCTTTTCTGCATCACTGAAGCCACCTTTTGTGTCATTATAATCCCTTGCAAGGAAAGGAGCTGAAGGTGCTCACCTTTCCTGGCAGTGTCTGGTGACACAGACAGGGATTGCAATCCATATAGCAAAATTCTTCTCTCTGGAGGAGTAAATGATTCTTCCTCTTTTGCCTTGCTTGACCAATAACTGTTTAAGAGTTAATTACTGGTCTAGATCCTCAGCTGATGTAAATCAGTATAGCTGTCAAAGTCAATTGAGCTGTGTTGATTTATTCCATCCTGTTTTGACATGGTAGCACTTTCCTGAGGAACTAAATTATGTGTAATCTAAATAGAAAGTATAGTATGGCCAGATTCTGTCAGTCTTTCTCAATTTGAGAAGTATCATGCTTCAAGAGTAGTTTTTTGGATCAAGGTAAATGTGCAAGTGGAAGATACAGGCTACTGTGCACAGTGCCCATCTTACTGAAGTTGATGATTCTCAGTAAAGACATCTTATGCACAGAATGTGCTGAAGTTCAAGATTGTTACTGAGCCAAGAACACTGAAGATTTTATCAAAATAGAATAGTTTTATTTGGCATATTATTTTAGCTAAAATGTGAATTTTGATGCTGGTGAATGATGCATCTCAGGTTTTTACTATATGGATCATCTTGCTTTGTTTTGTATCATAAAGAATGGATACTTTTAGTGCAATTTACTCTCCTTTAAGGTAACAAACTCTCCTCTTTCATTTTTCCCCTTATTTATCCAGACACAAGCTGTAGAAACTGTTCTGGCTACCTGATTTTGACAGCCTTAAGACTTAACTATGCGTGCTAAAAGCAATACTGTAGATCAGTTGATAACATTTTCCAGATGATCTGTCTTTACACAATGTGGTACTTAAAATGTGGACTTCAAGTGCCCGTATGCCAAATAATTCTCAAATCTGCTTGTAGTTAGGAAAGAAACCTTTTTTTTTCCCCCTTTTAAAATATATTTAAAAGTCGAATTGTTCTCTGAAACACTGAAAATGGCATCATGGGATTCTACAGATATGTTGTATTTCAGTATGGCTAAACCAGTGGTTCACAAGCTGTGGTCTCTGCCAGCCTGTGATCTGTGAGGTTATGGTACATGCTTTGCACCTCCTTTGTAGTGTTTTCAGTAAAGAGTTTTAATAACAAGAAGGCAGAGTGGTCCAGGAGAAATTCTAAGATGTGATTATGGTTGGTTAGCACCTGAAGGTTTGGGAATGGTTGCTCTGTATGACATTTTTTTTCTGTACAACAAATTCTAGTTTTGCATGTCAAGAGTGATAGCAATGTAGATAGGATGGTAACTGTAGTAGAGGGTTTCTAACGTTTAGTACAGCAGACTTTATCTGGGATGCCAGTCGGCCAATTTAGTATTTCTCTGTGCCTTTGACGGTAATGAATATAAGTGCAATCCTTCACTCGGCTGCAGTGGGCAGTGATGAACCCTCTGTCTTCCTTTCACATGAACATGGCTGCTTCAGGTAAGGTGTATGTCTGCTTTGGAGATACCAGGATTGGACACAGAGGAAGAAATATATGTTTAACAACCCAGACTGACTGTGCTCTCTTCAAAGTTTTAAGAAAATGCAAATATCTTTTTACTTAAAGACTGAAGAAATGTGGGACAGATTTTCTGAAAGACAATCAGTGGGGGTTGCAGGTTGCCAAACTGAGATGGTTGCATCTCAAAATATAGCCACACTTTAAGTATCTATTAATATTTGTCATTAATGGTTGAATAAATGGATAAATGTACTAGCTGCATCCTGTTTAAATTCAGTTTTAGTAAAGGCCTATTTAAATCCATTTATTATGCAAAATAAAACCAAACCAACCCTTCTCTTCAGTCAATTTTGTGGTTTTTATCCTTAACAGTAGTTAAGATCTATTTTCCTAAGGTACCACACACAGCAACTCCCACCAGAAAAGATGGTGCCTGAAAGTTCTCCACAATCAAAGCCTGTGATATATTTATTTTTAATTTAAAAAATAAATACATTTAGACTTGTTATATTTAGGGTAATCCAGGGTTGTTGCCATTAGTATTTCAAGCTAAAGGATAGGGTGAACAAGTGGCTGTTTTAATTCCATCAGATTGTAGCTGTAGTGCAGTGCTGATACAGGCAAGCCTGAGATGCTCCAGCATCTCTGTCCCAGAGTTTTTCAAACTTGGTTATACATGGTTATGGCTGACTTGATCTAGTGTTGGCAATCATCTGCTTCGAGGCTGAAGTTGGACTGCATGACCTCCAGGGGTCCCTTCTGACCAACATTTCTGTGATTCTGTGATGTTAAACGCCTTACTTCTGACATGCTTTGTATCCCAAAGTTGAAATATAGCTGAACAGTGTCAGGGATGTGTGTCTCTATAACGTTTATCAAATTTGCTCACGAAAAGGACACTTAGGAAAATCAAGGTTTTGACCTGCTAAAAACATCACCAGTCTAAGACATTTTAATTTGGTAGCTGATTAATTTTAGCATAATATTTCAACTGTTTTGTTAATTCATGTGGAAGAAAAAGGGATGGTTTACCAAATTCCTACTCTTTCTGTGAAAGAAAAACATTAAACCTTGTTTTCAGTGTAATGCTGGTTTTTGTTACAGAAAGAATATGCTAACATAAGTAAGCAGACATTAAATCACAGTATATTCTATTCATACAGTACACAGAAACTACAATATGCAGCAGTGAGGAGTGACTAATGTTTATTTTCTTGAAGCTGATGACCACACCACTCCAGCTGTGTCATGGAAGGGAAAGAATACCATATTTGTGGCATTAGTTATGTTGAAAATAAAATGTTACTGCTGTAATTTGGGGAGGGAGGAGAAAGAGGATATTGGATATTTTTTATCTGTAGATATGGATTATTATTATTATTTCTAAGGCTATTTATATACAGTATTTGCTCTGTATATGTATGTGCTACTGCAATGATGAAAATCATGTTAACACTTCATTTTGGTCTGCTGGATGCAGCAAGGGTAGATATTTATATTGTAATAAAGGCAAATATAAATTTTTCCTGACTTTTCTATTTTTCTATATCCTTTGATTATGGCAGGGGGGTTTTTTTGAAACTCTTGACGCTTTGTTAAGAGTGGCTTTTGTAGCTCCAGTCTCCATTGCCTGTTCCTTACTGGGGCTATCCAGTGTAAGTTGCATTATTTTTGCTGTTTGACTACAGTGTTTTACCCCGGATCTGGGCTCTGGCTGTTCTGGCATATGGAAACAGCACCTTGGAGCCAAGAGCAACCAGACGGGAACTGGAGCAAATTGGAGCAGTCAGGAATCCTACCTCACCCCACGATTTTTTTGAATCTTCCTTTTGTCTTATTCCTAGTGTGACCTATGTAAAAACTAGTCATTTGTTTCGAATGGGAGTGCTGTCATTCATGACAATGAGACCAGATAGCCTGGGGTTTTTTGGCTTTTTTATTTTCTTTCACATTGGCCATGTGGCTGGGGAGAAGCCAATACCCTTTTTTCCTCCTGTCCCTGAGAGCACAGCACTGCCTTTTGCTTCCACTGCCAGGTTTGCTGAGCAAACTAACTGCAGCATAGTGATACTGCCAGGCTTGTGCGTGCTGGTATGAAAACAAAGATGTTTGGAGTTGATAAGCCTCTGCGGCATCTCAAGTTCTCTGTTAAAAATACAAGAGCAGCCGTATTTGGGCAGCCTGCAGTCACTGCTTCTTCAGTCTTCTCTATTTTCTGTATGTCTCTGGCTTGTATAAACATTTACCCTGGAGCTCTGGAGACAGGCTTTGAAATGAAGGTGCCCTTTTAATTAAAAGTCAGAGAAATGGTGCTTTCGCATGAGCGAACAAAACTTTATAAGGACATACTCATTGCTTCTGGAATATCCCATTAACACTAGAGATAAAACAGTCTGAGGGAGGAAGCCTCCTGAGGAGCAATGAACATAAAGTTGTCAGTTTTGTTTTTTTTTTTTTGATGCCATGGGGAAGGTAGGGGCTATTTCCAGAATACTACATTTTTTTTCCTTATAAATAGTTAGTCTTAATTCAATATGCATTTCATATGCCACCAAGTACCTCAGGATAGTTCATTGAAAGATGATGGTGCTAAGATGGTTGGTGCTAAGAGCTAGTGCTCTTCAGCTCTTCCATAAATGCATAAAAAAGTGAAGTCTGAACGTTGTTCTTGGTGGGTTTTGGTTTTGGTGGTTTTTTTGTTTGTTTTGGGTTTTTGTTTGTTGAGGTTTTTTAATTCTAAAAGTCCAGCAAAATATGGTGGTGAAGGGAATATACTCACAGTGCCACAGCCTTAGGTAGTCTTCACTCCTTAGCTTGCAGTAAAACACAGCCCCTTGTTCTGTTATGTAGCATGTTGGAGATCCACAAGTAAAAAGCTAGTTGTAAATGTGAGCTGAGAGACTGGCTCTAAGGAACATCCAGCTGGAGTGACAAGGAATTACAGCTGCTGGATGCTCTGGGAACAGATCTACATCAAGACCTTTCCAGCCATTGGGATGTGAGGGAGAAAAATCAAGGTAAAATGATAAGTGAGTGTTCTTCTAGGAGGAACTAGAGAAAGGGAACAAAAACAGAGCAAGGAGACTAAAAGCACTTTCTTATTCCTACCCTTTTGCTGACCCTGGGTGGCAGTACCAGGTCAGGAACTGAGCTCTGCC